TGTTTTTTTTTTTTTTTTGTTTTTTTTTTTTTTTTTTACAGAAATAGGTGCACTGGACCTCTTCTTTTGTGTTTACCCGTGACTCTTTCCTGACCCCAAACCCAGTCGGTCGAGGCAGATGGCCTCCTGTCCTGAGCCTGGTTCTGCTGGAGGTTTCTTCCTGTTGGGGGGAGGTTTTTTTCTCCACTGTCACCAATGTGCTGCTCAGGATGGGACTGTGACAAAGAAAAGATTCACCACAATCAGCTGGCTTCTTTAGATTTACTGTTGTTTGTGTGTGTGTGTGTGTGTGTGTGTGTGTAGTGCCCTGAGATGACATTTGTTGTAACTTGGCGCTATGTAAATTAACTGAATTAAATGAAGGCAACTGTTACTCAAGTCTACCTCACCTTCCAGTTTAATGCTAACTTGGGTGGACTCACAAAATGCTAAAGATGTTACTTGCACACACAAGACACTGCATGTGTGAGGGGATATATATTTAGTTGACTTAAAATTAGCAGAACTATATTTAGAAATTGGTTCACTAACGATTTCCAAAGTTAGCAAAACTGCTAACTCAAGAAAAAAAAAACAACATCCATCTTACCCTTGCTGTATTGCCTCCACTATCCAACCATATAACTTAAATAACGCAGGAAAGTTCAGTTAAAAGGTTGGCTGGAAAGCAAGTGGAATTGTTAAAAGGCTGGTGTTTTTCAACCTTGTCTGATAGCTTAGCTTTTAGCATTTGTGTCTGTGTTTATTTTTCATAACTCAAGTCACTACTAAGTAAGAAAAGCACATTTTTAAAGCAGATCCTGTTCCAGTTCAGCTAATCCGCTAACAGCTAATAAAGGAGATAACTTCTTGTTTAGCACATTAGCATTTTTGCTAACATTGGAAACTGTTAGTAAACTAATTAGCTTCCACTTAATGTTTTTTTTATTAGCTTTCAGCCAAGATTATGTTTCTGTAAATTTAACAGTGATGTTTAAAATTGGTGCATAAATTTAATAAGTCTAATATTTAAATATTTTAATCACTGTGTGTGACTGGCTGCAATAGGGCGCTGTATGCGGTTAGCGTGCTAAGGCTAGCAATACAGGCTACAGTTAAAACATTGTAAGCGTTACCGTACCTGTTTATCGACAGAAAGTGCAGGGACAGGATCTGGGTGGTCCTGTGTTGGTGTTTTACTTACATTAAAATGTTTGCAGCAGATGTCCGTTTGCCCTGCCTGGTCCTATAGCTCAAAATCCACCTGTTAGTTAGCATCTTAGCTTGGGTAAAGTGATTCAAAATCACATCTTCCTGTTGGGATAATCATAGCTGTATCCAGAGTCACGTTACAAGTTCGATAGTACAATGTTTCGGGGTTCTTCTGGTGGAGTTTCATGCTGTTTCCCCAAATTTAAGTTTAAGCACAGCTAAACGCACCAGTGTCGAGCAGACGTAGTCACGTGACCAGTGTTCTAAAAATAGCCCGCGTGATCTGCATGACGCACCACACGTTTGTCTCATTCTATTTGAATGCTAACTTAGGTGGACAAAATGCTAAAGATGCTACACATACACACACACGGCACTTTATTTTTTTTTTAAGCGGACATAAAATTATCAGAACTAAATTTAGTTGAGCTAATTGGTTCGATAACACAACAGTTTCCAAAGTTACCAAAACTGCAAATTCACCAAGTGAAAAGTTAGCTTCGCTATTAGCCACTAGTAGATTAGCAGAAATGTGACCACCAACAATAAGCAAACCCAAAAACAGCTGCAGTTCTCTTTCACTGATAATATTGATCTGGTAGTAGCTGTGTATCATAATGAAAGAAACATAATAATGAATGACATTGTCTTTTTCACGGTTTGACCGATTTTATTCCATCGTCAGCTTGTCAATCTAGTCCGATTTTTTTGAAATTTGAAGCCTTTATTTTATCAGAAGAAAAAACTGAGTTTAAAGATCTCATAAGCTGGATGTAACTGAACTCTAATTCTCCAAACGGAGGTCATACGAAGTGCTATCTGCTACAGATAAAATATTAACCGTTCACAGCCTTACCACAGAAACCCACTCCAGAAGATCAGAACCGTCCCTGTGACTATATTTAAACGGAAGCGCTGGAGTATCAGAGTAATGGATGCTCTGCATGCTTCCTGTATCCAGCTCCTTTTTTTAGAATGCAGGCCAGCTCCTTTGTAGTCCACTTCATTATGTAGAAATGATAATTATGCCCTAGTGGAAGCTATCTTAAAAAAAAATTACTGTATCAGAGCCCTCCTTCAAATCCACTCACAAGTCATGACTGTCATTAAAAAAATTCACCAAGTGTTTGAAACACACAACTTTTCTCCGGTGTTCAGGACTGTTTTTTGCTTCCTTTACTGATAAAAGAACTGAAAATGGTCACAACACTCAGGCACAGAAATGCATGTTGAGTCAACGACCTTATTAGAGCATAAATGAGCTCTTAGTAGCGCAGAGCTCTAAAGTGTGCTGACGTTATTTTTGAAAAACAGAATTACTTCCACTTTGGAGCACCGTGTAAACAGAGTGGGTACACACAGGGCTCGAAATGAAACAGCAGCTGAGTCGAATGTTTAAACGTCCAAAAACAGAAGTCTTTCCGGATTACTCATTTCCTGTTCTACCTTTGACCGTGCAGACAGAGGGCTTGGAATGACCCTGGCTCGAATTGTTTGTCGGTCAGATGGGTTTGTGTTTTCTTTCCTAACAATGCTGGGGAAGCAGGAGGAAGGGATTTGGCCGACTAAATTCAGGTCAGACACTCCCGTCAGATTAGTCCGGCCCGATCTGGCCAGAAAAACTCTTGACATGCAACACACTGATTGGAAAAGACAGCACCAGATTAGGGACGGCAGTGTTTTTAAAAATAGAAAAACCAGGCAAGGTTTATTTGTTTAAAAAAAAGGTCATATATTTGTCATAAAGGAACATAACACACGATAAAACAGTTTATGTACATAAATGCAACACGGATAGACTTTACTGGTGTGAGTTTGCTGCAGCAGTGGCTCGTGGTGCTTGTAGACATATTTTTTAAACTTGTAGATTTAAACTAACCCTGAGATGTGAACAGAGTGGAGAAAAATAGCACAGAAAGAGCAATTATGAGACGACTCTTTTGAGGGAAAGGATTTTCTTCAAAGCCTTTCGAAGGCGCTGCAGTCAAACAGCTCTGCGGAATGATAAAAGTCATCTAAACATTTTTAAAAGTGAATAAAAACAGAGCGAAACTAGGTCTTTATTATCAGTAGCAAGGTTATACTTAGCATGTGCATAATGTTTATCACTTTGAGAAAAGGCTGCGTTTTCGAGTAACATCAGTCCTGTTTTCTTTGGCTGAGCTGCTGTGGAAGAAGTTAGTTTCAGCAATCCTATCTGGGAAAGCGCAGCACTTATTACACGGCTCAATTTCCAATTCTCTCACAGGTACACACACACACACACACACACACACCCTCAGAATACAAAATGAGGCCGCGGCACCAAATAATCTCCTAGACGAAGTCGGTGATACAAAAACACATGGACAGAAAGGGAAAAGACAGTCATTACGTGAGGTTACAGAGGGATAGCTATTCACACGCTCCTTAAAATAAAAGAAACACGACATCTTTCGCTCCATTAAAGCCACCTGCAGCAAACAAAAGACGGTGATCTGCATCACGCCGGGCTGCGGCGTGGAGAAATGGAGTGGCTGCTCGACAAGAGGCGAGCTCAGGGGCCATTACATCGCCTCGGAGAGAGGGGAGCTGTAATTGCAGTGGGAGAGCACAATCAGGTGCTGTGTTTGTCTCCGCTTTAATTTGTGCACGTGGCCGGGGCCCCTCCGCCCCGACGAGCTACGCTTTCATCCCACTCTTGATTTGGGGGAGCCGTTTCAGATCGGATCTGACAGAATCCGAGCCGGAGTTTTAGCGCCCTTTTTTTGGGATGAAGCGGAGACGAAACCTGGTTTCAAACATCGTTTATGATGAGTGGTTTCACTTTTTTTCCTTCCTCCTCTGCTTCTTTCATTTCCTGTGGCTCCAGAAAGGTTTGCACGGTGCACCTGTTGCTACGGTGCTGCTTCGCCCGGCCCCGTTAGCACGCGGAGACATTTAACGCCATCAACACTACAAATCCCTTCATGTTTTTTGGTCTCAAACAGTAAGTAACCAGAGCGCTAAAAATTCCTATTTGCCTTGAAAAGAAAAGGCCTGGCTTCTGTTCGGAGCGCAGAGTTCAGTGCACGCCGGTGAGAGCGGTAAAATGCAGGCTAAGCAGGATTACCCAGCAGCTGTGCTTCACATGGTGTCATTACTGCAGGGAGGTGCAGTACAGCGCTTGTTCAGGATTAAGTGCAACACCACTTTTACACACACACAAAACAAACAAACAAAAAAAGAATAATAATAAAAAATAAATCACGTCTTTAAATCCTTGAAAAATAATTTTCTCCCCTCTAGGCTCATGTCCCTTAAAGGCACGTAACGGAGATAAACCCGAAAGCCCGCGTCTCGATTTATGTTCAAAGTAAAAGAGCAGAAGAGTCTAGTAAAACGTGATCTTAAAGGCACAGTTGTCGAGGCTCATGCTCCTGAATATACTGATAAAAGCATAAAGGTTTACATTCATTTTTATAATAGGAGATAGTTTTTTTATGTACGGTGTAAAAAAAATCACCTTTGGACCAACTTTAGTCAGTTTTACGGTAACGTCTGGAAGGCACCACAAACTAATGAAAAAATACCAATGTTTATGATTGTCATCTTAAAGAAAAAAGGAAGGGAAATCCAACAAGCAGTGTCAAGAATAAGGTCAGAGGTTCCCGTCGTCGAGCATCTTGTTGACCCCGTTGCAGATCTTCTGCAGGTGGGCTCGATACACCTCGGAGGGGCCGTACAGAGCCGCCAGGAAGTCGCAGTCGGCGAAGTGATTGAAGACGTGGTTGACCCGCGAGTGGCTCTTGGCCGTCAGGTGGCGCCGGATGGCCTGGTGCAGGAGTTCGCGACAGTCGTTCAGGATGGCGCTCATGACGCGGCGGTCGAAGGTGAACTCGATCTGGTGGAAACTGACCGCCGTCATGGCCAGCGTGTGGACTTTCTTCCTGCGAGACGGGAGAGAAAAAGAGAGAAAGAGAGAGGGGAAAAAAAAGAAACAATAAGAGGCTGTCACTTTCTAACTCTGACCAGAACAGGAAGTAAAAATAGAAACTGCTGTCTTGTGATATTTTTCCTCTCTTTAGAAAAGTTTCACAGCTCTAATACAGGAGCTGCAGCACTGTCCTGCGCAGCCACACATCTCCAGGATAATATAAACCACATACGCCACACTGTGCTCTCATATCAGCCTCCAAGATCAGTTTTACTGTTTTAGTGGGAAAATATATCAGAAACATAAACAGACAGAAAAGTCTGTTTCATTAAGAAGCTTCCATCAGCACAAAAAATAAAAAAATAAAATAAATAAAATCACTGATGCTGCAGTTTTTGTTTTTAATAAAAACTACATCCTTATGTCTCAGGGGTTGTCAAATCAGGAACGCACCGACTGCTCAGAAGTTTACTGGAATTTTATCTTGACCTGTTGAAGAAATTTATAGTTATTAGAGTTTAGTACTGACGTTTAAAGCACAACACTGTATTTTTAGGTTTTCCTTTTTATAATGTTTAATCTATTATGTGTTAATTGATATAGATTAGTTACATGTCTGTAATACAGTATCTATAACAACACATATTTAACCATTATGAGAACAGTAGGTGAGAATTTTGTATGAATGTCTGTGATGCAGCCGTAGGTCAGTAGGGGGTGAACGCGGGCATTCGCTGTGTCCAAAACGACAGGCCGGGTCCTCCGGAGGACCCAGACTCCCCGGTCTCGGCGGGCCGGGTCCT